TCGGGTATTTTTAAACAATGACCATCAGTTGATATTGTGATCTTTTGTTTATACTTGTACATTTCTAAGGAATTTAAAAGGTCTGACATTGTTTACACTAAATAGCGTAGACTTGATCTTTCGTTCGTATTTTCCGCTATTTACCACTGCGCGCAAGTTGCCAGTAAAAACCCAGTCTGAAAGTCTTCGCCAACCATTTCACCGTCAAGTTAGTGTTTTCAAATTGTCCGATTTCTAGTACCAAAAAGGATGCTGTTTATCTTCTTCAAAATAGCTGAAAATCGTTGTGTTTCTACTCAATATGTGCACTTTGAGAAATGATCTTTGAAATATAAGTGACAAAGGAACACGATCAGCTACGTTGAAATTTCGCTTCTTCGCGGATTTTCACCATGAAATACAAGGGCAAAGGGAGACGACGAAAGGAAAATAAATTGTCAAAAAGGACGCTCTTAACAATATTGGATTTATTTGGATCTCCTACAGTGGAATCGAGAATAGTTTCCTTCTAGGAATTCATCTTTGAAATCTTTCCAGTTAAAACAGATAAAATGTTATTCTCAAATATTTTTTTTTATCCGTATATTTCTTTGTAAAATTAACAAACATGTTTTTTGCTTTTATGCGAAGTACCGCTGCGATTGCGGGCTCATATATCCGGATTTTCTGGCCATGCCGGTACAACTGATGAAGAATCAACCTGTAAGAACGGGTTTGCAAACCTAAAAGCCATCAACCTGTTATAATTACACTKAACCGACGGGTTCTCCAGCCCGTTATAACCGGCTGTGAGTTAATCGGCTAGAACRGGTTGCCTAACCCGCTGTAGCCGGTTGTTGACCTAGACAGTATATAGTACTAAGCTTTTTAGGTTTCTGCACCCGTTCTAGCGGGTTGACTCAAAACCGCTTTTGCCAAGTTCGGTTGCCCCGGGTTGTAGTTATTGGAGAACCCGCTGYAGCCAGTTGATGATCTATAGCACTAAGGATKTTTTGCTTTCTGAACTCGTTCTAGCGKTTTTTTTTCTATTTTTGCCATTTTTGTTTATAGCCATGTGGACTTGGTCAATTCTCCAATTATAAGAGCCATTCATTTGACATCATAAACGATATTATTCTGAATAGACGTGTACGTTGTTTTTCTTAATAACAGCACGAATCCACATGCACCTATTTTATATGCTATATAAAATTTATATCTTTATTTCAAAGACCTTCCTGATTTTGGAGTATCCTATAAGTCCTGGAGATTGAACCAATCAGTGCCAACTGTACAGTAAGTTGTTCGTCTCATCTATAAATCATATAAAAAGTATGTGACGTCTGTATTTGCTGTATACTTTGTGGTAACACCATTTAATGTGTTAAAAGTACAGAATCTGTTCTTATTGCAGRTTAAAAGGAACACCAGGTGATGTACTGTATAGATACGTGGATGGACAGACTGCWTTGTATTTCACTGGKAAACAAGGATATGCACATATTCCTCTTGTYGATATCAATCCCGAGGGTTTTACCATTACGTTTTGGATCAAAATTTTKCATGGTATATCGTCGGGAGGATGGCTGCATCCAGTAATTTTTGTGAAAAAGCCACTCTCGATGGAATTGCCATCGAAGATCATTGACTTTTTTTACCAGTTTGGAACAACCCAATTTAACGTTCAAATCATTGGTCAAGGMCAGGGAAAAGCAACACAGTAAGTAGTTACGAATTAAAAGCAAAAAAGAGAACATTAGGTACAGTTACAGGCTCAGGGGTAGTTTTTTTTTTCTTTGCTGTCTTTTTCAGATTTGATTATAATACCTGGATTCACTTTGCGGTTAGTGGAAATAAATCCACTGGTTTGTGGCATTACGTCATCGATGGGAAAAAGAAAACTACTTGGACAAGYAATGTCTTTCCGTCAATCACAGGAAATGAGAGTTTTATTCTGGGKGTTAAATCTTCAGACGCATTGAAAAAGAGSCAAACCCTCCATGGATACCTAAAAGATATAATGGTGATAAACAAGTCATTGGACATCAACAAGATACAAACTATTGCTTGTAAGTATCGAAGGCCAGTGAATACTGACAGGAATTGACCAGGAAATTAGAAGTCAAGTTTGATATTGGACAATTATAATTGCAAAATTTGCGCAAAATAAAAAGTYTTAGAACTTTGAATAATCAAAAAAAGCTCAGATCTGTCAGTTTTTTTCCAGATTGCAGCTCTTCTTTCTCTCTCCCACTACTCTTCTCAATTTTCCTTTCAATCCTCTCCTTCCTTTTTTTCTTACCAAAAGACTTAGAGTAAAAGACTTAGAGTAAAAAGCTTTGAATTCCGGCATCAAAAACTTTCTTCTCTACCTTGCTTGATTTTGATTATTGCTATTATTAATTGGTGAATTATTTGTGAGCATTCATGCCTATGAATTCACCCAAGTTGTTAGCCGTGAGCTCGTGCATTTTTGTAACGCACTTTTCTGTAGAAATGCAGATAAAGCAAAGAGAAATGTCAGCTTCACTTTTGCATTTTTGTTACTACATTTATTACGAAGAAAATAACATAACACTTTCTTTATTATAGTTTGGAATGAGCACGGTGGGTGGATTGGTCTTAACGACCAAGAAAACACCAGTTGCTTAAATTGGTCTGACGGGACCCCTGTTGGTCAGTTTATGCCTTTTCTAAGAAACAAGCCCAAACTGTCCCTCTCCGGACGGAAGTGTGTTGTCATTGGTAAAAATGGTAAATGGTTGGATAAAATGTGCAGCACAGAAAATGAATTTATTTGCGAAAAACGCTTAAAAGGACTTTGACTAAAAACTGGTGAAAACGTTTTAAAAAATGACTTGCCAGTTGAGACATTTTTTTTTAATTGGTGTCRTACAATCAGTTATGGAAGTTACTTGACCTTAAAGAATGAGTGTATTACGGCAGGTCCGGATGGGTTAAACAATTTAAGGTTAACGTTTTTCTGCTCCTCTATGGACTGTGACCTCTTTGAAATCARCKGYYGCCRGCTCAAGACAGACCAAATCTTCAAGTTAACCATTATAAATTGAAGTCTCAGAATGCTGAAACTGTGAAGACTGATGTCAAGAAACTTTAAACTAAAGCGCTGGGGCGGATCCGGGATAGATTCTTTTGGTGCGGACGCACCTCTCCCTTTTGGACGACGTAATTTTGTTCATACATGTACAAATGTTTTTTTTTTCTTTCTGCTGTTTGTACTTGTTTTGTACTAGTAGCATAGTGTAAGGACGCGCTCAAATGGCAAGGATCGTTCTGATTTACCACTCGTTTAATCTTAATTTTCACGTTCAGTAACTACAATCTATGTTGTATTTGTTCGGCACAAGCTCAAGCTGAAGAAGGTCGACCAGAAAGACTTTCCGCAGTCGGAGTGTTTGTGTATCGATGAGGTTTTAGTAACGCGACGAGATTGCCACCAGGGAATCTCTTTGCACTTAAAGCACTTAGCACCACTTAACCTTATTGAAAAATTGTCTGTATTAAGTAGGCATAGCAAGCGTGACCTTGTAGTCATAACATGCCCTTACGCAAGCACGTAGAATAGTGTTTCCGCAATAATATTTTCTGGTAAACAATTGGTGGGATGGCTTGGAGGTGTGATTTCCATAGTTGTCACTGATTTCAACAAGTCACTGACAAGCAGTGGTTATAACAAACAAAAGACGTTGAACACTAACGCAACAAAGGACGTTAGCAGTCTAACTGTTAAACAGTATAGTACAGCATGCTACGACAACCGAGGAGACCGGAACGAACAAGTAATCACTTAACTACGGATAATGCGAACGTGGACGTTGAATATTAAGACATACGTGTAAAGTGTTAAGAATATCTCTATGTAATTCCAGATAGCAGCAAGCAATTGCAGGGTATAGTGCACCCTGTGGGGCATATATATGGAGAAATAGAGATGCTCTGCTGCCGCAGGAAGATACAGGAAGAATGTTTATTATATAATAGATAATAAAGATGGTCTGATTGTACCCTAGTTGGTCAGTTTACGCCTTTTCTTACAAACATGAACAAATTTGCACTCTCTACACGACTGTGTGTTGCCATTGTTAAAAAACGAAAATGGTTGGATACAATGCGCAACGTGAAGAAACCATTTATATGTGAAAACCTTGAAACCTGATAACCCCGTATTTACATTAGTTAAGAGTAGGATCATGCCCAGGGTTCTTACCTATAATTTACGTGACCAAAGAAATCTTTCTTTAGCACCTCCGACAACTTTGTAACATATAAATTGTCCTATTTGCTCGCTTAATTTTGCTGACCCACCTGTAATTCAGATTATTCTGCAAGAGGTGTCTATTAAACAAATCTATATAATTATAC